GTAACCGACAAATCGTGCGCAAGCACTCAGCAGCATGGACTCGTGCTTGTATGTGCTTGTAACGGGATGATGGGGCACCCACTCCTAGTCCATATGTTCAAAAAACATGGTTGGGGGACCTATGAAAATACCTTCGGTATTTTCGAACCCCCCCAGGGGATAATCATGGGGGATGTGGCAGGCATTTTCTGGTGGCTACCCGCCAGGGTCTGCTGGCCTCTCAGTCAACTTGCTTTTAATGCTGGAGGCCTCTCTTGATGCTGTAGCCTATAGATTGCAGACCGGGTTGAGGCTTTGCACGCTAGATGGTGCCACTGGTGCTTTGCAGCATCCTGACTGCAGAAAGAGTTCAGGCAGAGCCTCTACTGCAGAAGCGTGCCTGTTTCAGGTACGTTTGTCAAGCAGAGCAGCCAATCACCAGCATCGCCCTGCACGGGCCCCAGCAAACAGTGCATGATTGAAGTCGCTCTTGTCAGATGCAAGACAAAGAGCTCTCGTTTGAAAGGGAAGTAACTGAGAGCCTTGGCCTTGGCATCAGGCCGAACAAAACCAGACATGTCACAGGTTAGTCAGCAAAGCTCACCAACCGGCTAAGATGCGGTTCATTGCGGTTCTGTCATCATGTCAGTGTGATGGAGGACGCAGGACTACCTGGTCACTTCTCACATCGGCAATACGCTGAGTTTTTGGGAGCTGACACCTGAGGCCCATCAGCTTTCACAGCAATCATGTCAGGAATCTAACAAGGGCCACTCAGCCAAAGTTCTGCCCAGAGGCGCTTCTTCGAGAAAGTCCTGAAGAAGCCGCCAACGTAGCTTCCGGCATGGCGCCAGCGCGCGCTGACCAAATTTGGCAGGCGCGCGAAAACTTCTTCCTGATTCCATGTGACGAGGCCTAAAATGGCGCTGTCCACCGGAATGTTTCAGCTGAAGAAGGCAAGGTTGGCCTGAAGAGAGACAGAATTCCACTAGTCTTTTGATTCTTTGGCAGGTTGCCGACCTGGAAAGTGTCGGCCAGTCACAGAGCTTGAGCCACAGGCTTCTGGGCCAGGCGCCAGCATCAACTCGGAGCAGACTTTACGGCTCTCCGCGGCTCTCTGCTGCTGGCAGGTGGCCTCAATACAGGCGTCAACGGATCTCAAAGATGCGGCAGCCTGCTCAGAGCGTGATGGTTCCAGCTCAGAGCTGGACAGGGCCAACCGGTTCCTGTACAGGTGCTGACGACGGCGGAGGGCGAAGTTTGGACAATTCAACTGCCCTCCAAGCAGTTGCGCAGCCACGCTTCCGGAACTATTCATGTCATGGGCAATCCTGACAAACCTCCCAGCAACCGGAGCTGTATGCAGCACAGGAGACACGCGGGTTCAGCAAGTAGGATGCAGGGTTTGGGCTCCACTGCTTCCAAATGCTGCGCTCCGGGTTAACAAGCGAGTTCGCAGGTCAGAGAGAGTGAAAAGGAACGCTTTTCGCTGGAATAAGCTGAATGTTTGACACCCGCAGTTGTAAAATCAGGTTGCAACACAAAGAAGCCACCCCGATGCAATGGGGACAACGGGTACGAAATGGCAGAGACACCGTTATTCTTCAGACGGCTGACGTAAAAGAGGGATATTTCGCATACTACGCAAGAGTCAGAGGCGACAGCGTTTTGAAGGATTTAATCGGATCTAATCATTGCTGCTACTGCAGTAGCTACTTCTATTGCTACTGCTACTGCTTCCATGGCCAGTAATACTACCGCCGCCGCCCCCACCACCACCCCACCAGCACCACCAGCACCAGCACCAGCACCAGCACCAGCACCAGCACCAGCACTAGCAGCAGCACCAGCAGCAGCACCAGCAGCAGCACCAGCAGCAGCACCAGCAGCAGCAGCAGC